TTGGCGTTTGAGGGGAGGACAGAAGGTCTCCAGCTTCGCCTCTGCAGACACTGTGCCAGTATTTCCACTTTGGCAGGGCAGGGGAAGCAAAGGATGGTGCTGCAGGGTGTGCACCTTGTCTCCTTTCCCACCACGTCGGCTTTACTTCATTTCCACCAACAGCAGTGGACAGAAGCCCGTGGGCCCCTACTGAGTCCCTGATCCCAGTGCACAGAAAGCAGAGTCCAGAGCTACCAGGGCTGAGCAGGAGCACGATTCAAACAGTCCCACAGGTGCTGTGCTCGTGTGTCTGTGTTGGACCCCAGCCACAACCAACTCTCGTCTCTGCAGAAAACTTGCCAAGCTCTCCACGATAAAATCGACCCATAAAAGTGTTGTAAGTAACGATTTCACTCTGACATCTCTGGATGCCTCCAAGTCATTGCTTTGGGAATGTTTTCTGCTCAGCTGGAGAGGTGCCTGTTTCCATATTTCACTTTGAGGACCAGCCATCTCCCCCTTGTTCAACCTTGAGCACCTATAAAGCATGTTCACTGACACCCCCTCACTGACATTAACAAACAGCTTTAGCACATTGGCCAACACCTGCAGAAGCGATTTCCCTCTCAGTTTGAGTGGCAGCATCTTTTCCTGGGAATAATCCATGACTCGGGGATCCCAGGTTTGTCCTGGAGGAGGGACATACAACTGTCTGAGGTTTTAAAAAGTACAGTGACTAATTCAAGCTGAGCTTTTTTTTCTCTCCTCTCCAGATTGTTAATTTGAAAACAAATTTTTCTAGATTTCTTTTACATTTTCTCATAGTTGGAAATACATGGCTTTTTTTCTCTCTCCAAAGTGTGGGATGAGGAAACAGCATGTTGGCCAGTTGGGTTTGTTCCAAGTTGTCTGTTCACTTACCTGTGATCAAGTCAGGAGCAAAAGGTGAGGATTCCATCTGTAAGGTGTCTGTACTGAAGGATTTTGGTTCTGGCCAGCTTTAGCTGGATGGAATTACCCATAATATCCCTCGTGCACTGAGAGTATCAGTCTGTTAGTTTTTCTATGGACTGACACTCTGTGAACACCGAGTGAGGCTCCACTAGGAAAAGTCCAGTGTGGTACTGTAAAATAATCCTCTGTGAATGCACTGGGGTAATGGATGCTGGGACAGTGAATGCAGGAGCGGCAGTCACGGCTGGAAGATGAATCCTGTGATGGTCAAAGAGCTGGAGAACATGGCAAGGGGAAGCTCTGCCCCTTTTCCTGGGAAATCAGCACAACTGGGATTAGACAGCAGCCAGTGTGGGTGATGCTGTGTTGGGTGTCAGCTACGGGCACATGAGTGATGGGGAGAACATCTAGAAGCAACTGTAACTAAAATTACTTGAACTTTTCATTTTTAAACTCTTCCCACTTCCTTCCAGTTTGGGAATGACATTTTTCAAGTCTGAACTCTTCTCAAAAGTATTTTTGGAAGGTCTGAACAAAAACAGTTTAGCCATCTTTGTGTAAAATGACTGCTAGGAAAGTACTCGGCTCTGACACATTTTTGGCAGGGAGCTATTGAACAGCTTTGGGGCCTTGCTGGAAATGTCCAAAAGTGTTTTTCAAATCATCATACAATTATTATTGGTTATAATAATGCTTAGACACCCCGCCCAGCCCTCAGAGACTGAGAGCAGGGCAAGCAGCAGTGAAAAGCAAGTCCTCAAGGACGTGCAGGACAACTGGCCAGCAACAAGTGGTGCCTGTTTGCATGTCCAGGGGTGAGCAGGACAGCAGTGACAGTGTGACACAGCAGTGACAACGTGACACAGCAGTGACAACGTGACACAGCAATGACCAGGTTACCGAGCTGGCAAACCCCGGTCAGCTGTGGAGAGGTAGCTGGGCATGAACCCACAATGCTGCTGGCATTTGTCACACGCTGGGGAAGAACTGGCAGGACAGGGACTGCCACCCCCTGTGCCACTGGACAGAGGCTGCAGCAATGCCAACACTGCAATCCCTGAGCCTGTTTGCCCAGACTCTGTTTCTGTGGATGAGAATTATCCGGGGGAGCCCTGCAGAAATTCAGCTTTAATGTGCAAATGGAAGTGTTTGTTTTGGGGCAGTTGTTGTGCTCACCACTGATGGTGACAGCCCAGGAGCTGGGACGTACTTGGCATTTGAGCAGTGAGGTGGACCGTCTAAAAGTAAAGCTTTAGGCTTGCCAGGAGCTGGGAATAATTATGTAGCACTTCCCACTGTGGTTTTGATCTCGTTACACAAGCGTGAGTGAATGTGGAATTAGATCCTCTCCTTATAGAAACGTTCCACATTAGTTCCACTCGATATGCTCTTGGTTCCATTATTAGAGCTCCATTTGTGCCTGATGTTTGAGGTTGGGCTTGGTTCAGCTGTTCCCAGTGGCCGTACCTGCTGCACTGCCCTTTCCCGACAGTGCCTGTACAATAAAGCTGTGCCTCCCGAGGACACAAATGGGGAGGTGTTTCCCACTCGTGTTCCCTGCAGCTCTGGCCATCTCACAGCCATGCTTTTCATGGCACCCCCCCATCAAAGGCTGTGGAATCTGCTCTGGAGAAACACTGCTGGTGTTGAGGCAAATGGACACTCTTTCCTGAAGCTTTCAGATTTAAAAGTTTCTGGTCATTTTTCAGCTAATTGTTTATTTCGTGGAAAGACATTAATTAGAACTTGTAAAAATCTAACATCGTATGACCTTTCAACTGAATTAGAAGAAGAAAAGCCTTAATTTATTGCTGCCTTTTCCCCAAGCTGTTCTTTTTTAGTTGCATTTAAATAGAATATATTTGGGCATGAAAGTTGACAGCTCCTTTTTCATGGCCTTTTACTGTATTTTTGCTGTGGTTGGTCAGATGCTTTTATCTAAAGCTTTGTTCTTTGCAGTGGAAAAAAATTCCAGAGGATTTAAGAGAGTGATAGAGTTTTCAGAGAAAATAAAATGTTCACACAATCCTTGGGGCTGCTCGGGAAATGGGATTTCATGCTGGCAAAGCTCCACGCTTTGTTGGAGCTCGTGTTGACAGTGATGGACTTTGGGGTTCATCCCGCAGCTCAGCCAGCATTCCCACCCTTCTGTGCTTCCCTCTGTGTCACAGGGACTCTCTGGAGTGGGTGTGGTGGGTCCTGAGCAGAGCCTGGACCTGTGGGAGCAGCTCAGGTGTGATTCCCACGCCAGGGCTTCGGCAAGGGAGGGAGCTGGTGTGGTGCTCTGGGTTGCCCTGGCTGCGTCATCCTGGGACCTGGCTGGGTGGAACCGTGGGAGACTGGAGGGACCCGGGAAATGGATCAGCTGAAAGAACCTCTCTGAATGGGGTTTGGGAAGGGAAACCGCTTGTTGGTGTGGGGGAAAGGCAAAGCGTGGCCCACGATGGAAAGGAGCAGGAGAACTGTGGTGATCAAGGGACAGCTGACTGTTCAAGGCAAGGATTAGCAGTAAGAACAAAGGAGCAGTGTTTGATTTAACCGTGCTTTGGCAACTCTTAAATTGGACTAAGAGCAGAAAGTAATCCTTGGCTAGTCTGATCCTGTGGCACTGGCAGGGAAGTGCTGGCTGGGACAGTGACGTGGGACAGGTAGGGAGGGCACAGGTTGTGCAGCTGCCTCTGCAGAGGAGCCCTGCTCGTGGGGCTACAGCCTAGTGATCTGCCAGTGCTGGCAATAAGTGCTTTAATTTCTCCTCTCAAGAATGAGACATGTTCTTTAATCCCACGTAATTATAAAATTGCAAAGTCGGAGGTGGCAAGGACCCATTAGGCGAGGCAGCTCCTGTGCCCTCAGGGGATTGTTCAGGGGAACTCGGTGATTGAGAAATGGGGATTCAACCAGTTACTCACCTCGTAGTCTCGGTTCATCACTGCTGCCACTGAGATCTGTCGTGTCATCTTTCTTTGCGAGCAGCATGAACGGATTATCAAGTTTTATTCTCAGATCATCTGCAAGGCAGATTTATGCACAGCCTTTGTATCTCTAAGCAAATTGGGGAATGTGAGTCTCTCGCTACACCGGGGCCGAGCGTTCCTAAGGAAGGGCTATTAATAGCCCAATCCTAGTTCCCTCGGGGGGCTCATCTCATGGCATGCGACCTCCATGTGGATCTGGAGCCGCTCCGAGCAGCGGTGCGGGGCTGCGAGTGCGGGAGCCGCGCCGAGGCGCGGGGTGCGGCTGCGAGCGCGGGGCGTGCCGAGGCGGTGCCGGCGGGCGGTGATGTAATGCGAGCTGTGGAGAGCCGGCCCGGCGGGGCATCGCGCCGATCCGCGGGCGGCTGCGCCGTCCCTGGATGCCGCGGTGCGGGCCGGTGGCCGATCGGCTCCCCGTGCGGGGTGTGCGGGTGCCGCGGCGTCCCGCAGGTGTGCCCCGCCGGGGCGGCCCCGCGGCGCTGGCGGGCGGCGGGCGGCAGGTGGAGCCCGCGGTCCGCCCGCGCCCGCGCCCGCGCCGCCCCCCCGCACGTGGCGCGGCCCCGCTGAAAAGCCGCGAGCGGCCCCGCGCCCGGCACTGCCGCCCGCAGCGCCCGAGCCGCTCCCAGCCCTCCCGCTCCTGCCGCTCCTGCCGCCATGGCGAGCGGCACCCGCTCCCCGCAGCCCGCACTGCCGCCCGCAGCTCGCTGACAGCCCGCGCCGCATCCCCGCCGCCGCATCCCCGGCACCGCCGCCGCCGCCACCGGCCGCTCCAGCCCGCGCTGACCTGTTGAAAGAGCCGCGCTTGTCTCGGCGATCCTTTGTCTCGGGGGTTCTTTCTGCTTCTTTTCCTTCTCGACGGGGGAAGTTTGCTCCCCAGACTGCGACCCGGCTTCCTCCACACCCTTTCCTCCTCGTCTTCCTCCTGTTTTCCCGGATCCGCTGCGCGGGGCCAGGAGCGGTCTCCCCCGTGAGCCCCGGCCCCGCGCTGGAGCCGGGGGCACCCGCGGGCTCCGGGCTCGCCCTTTGCCCCGGCGGCGGCGGAGGGGCGGCCCCGGCAGCGCGGGGAGGCTCCGCGGCTGTCCCCGCGCTGCCACTATGGCCAAAGTGGCGGCGGAAAGTTGCGGGTCGGCGCCGGCCGAGGACTTGTCCAAGGTGTCGGACGAGGAGCTGCTCAAGTGGAGCAAGGAGGAGCTGATCCGCAGCCTCCGCCGCGCCGAGGCCGAGAAGATGAGCGCGATGCTGGACCACAGCAACCTCATCCGCGAGGTGAACCGCCGCCTCCAGCTCCACCTCGGCGAGATCCGCGGCTTGAAGGTAGAGCGGGGCGGGCAGGGTGGGACCCTGAAGTTTGTGCGGCATCTCCGCGGCCCCCGCCCGTCCCGCCGGGAGCGGTTCTCGTCAGGTGGACGGTCCGGGAGGAGCCGCCCCCGAGAACCGCAGGAAAAGTAGACGAGGGCTGGAGTGAATAGCCTTTGATGCTGCTTAAAAATCGGGTGTCCGGCCAAGAGATGAGCAGCTATTCGGCAGGATGTGCAGCGCAGCTGGGGAGTGCTCTGCTCCGGTGTTCTTTGGGTTGGTAGAGACACTAAAGTCTGGTCACCTCTGTGTTAGACTCCACTGGTGTGGAGTTCAATGATCCTGCCTGAAGTGCACAAGAAATCAGGGTGTGCAGAGCTGTAGATGTTCAGAAGGGTTTCTGTCCCTGTTTTCAGCTGCCCTGGTCTGTCAGGCAGGCAGGCTGCTGGAGGGAGCTGGTCATTTCCAGGATGCAGGGCAGGGTATGGCAGGTGATGGCAAACCTTTGGGCTCGGTTTTGGGGTGATCAGAAACAGCCCCTAGCTTGTTGTCTGAAAAAGGCATCTGATAATGCATCTCTGACCGTCTGATAATGCATCTCTGACCAACCATTTTCAATTGTATCCTTGTGCAGGCTGCACATTACAAGTCAGACCGAGTCTGTAATGGCTTATCCCCTCTAAATTTCACTCTTTGGTTGGGTGAGAGACTTAGCCCCTAATGTTTCCTTCCCACTTCTGAGGATTGGGAAGATAGTGTGACTGCTTCCAGAGAATTACCTTGCTTGTGTATTACAGACCTAGAAAGTTACCTTAAAGCAGGCAGGACCACGGAACATCTTCTGTCTGGTTGCTTTGAGAAGGGACATTGTTTTCAGGAAATTCTTTCAATGAGATTGGAGGGAAGGAGAGGAGAGACAGATGAAGTGTAGGCTTTTGAATTACTGCATGGAAGTGCATTAAAAGAGAATTCTTCACTTGTAGAATGGCTTTAAATGATGGAATTACTGAGGAAGTGTCCTTGATCATAGTGTGGCATAAAGGAAACAGCTTGTGGGGGAAGACTCTTCCTGTCTCCCAAATGTTTGTGTTCTGCACAGAATGGGAGCGTGTGTCCCTTCCCTCTTTTTGACCATACATGGTGTCTGGGGGTTAAAAAGACCCATCCATGATAGTATTTAGGAAGAATGAAGCTTAGGTTTCAAATGTATGTTCAATTACAACAATAGCATCTTTCTCCCGGTGCTGTGACATCATATGGATTTCTGCATCCTCCAGATAACTGACCAAACACACCAAGATGTGTAGGAAGGAGTGACACATTCCCCTCTCAGTTCTGAACTCCTTAAGTCATGGTTAACTTCCTCCTTTTGTTCAGATGCCCCATCTGGAACTTTTGGACAGGATCTGAGAGAAGGAGGTTGTGAGCCCTGTGCCGGTGTCTGCACATCTCCCTGCTTTGTTCTCTGTGAGATACCAGGTCCCTGAGTCAGAATGCCCAGCTGGAAGGCTGCCTTCTGGCTCAGGAATTCTGCACTTCCACAACTCTTTTATTCCACCGTGGGATCACTTCAAACATCTCTCACCAGCAGAGATTTTTAAGGACACCTTGTAACCTTTTTTTTTTTGTTGTCAAATACAGGTTGAAATCGGTTGAGTTCAGAGTTGCTCTGAGGCACAGATCAGACAAACCCTGGCATTCGTGCATCCAAGTCCAGTGGGGTTACAGACACTTCCCTTTCTTGGGGAACAGTGCTAAAATGGTGTTTCCATAAGGCCAACCCTTAAACAATTGTGGCTAATCTCTATTTGTGCTGTCATACATAAGAAGGAATGAATATGGAGTCGGGGGAAAGAGAAACGTGGTCACAAGTCCAAACTAGGAGGATAAAATACTGCAAATGTTTTCTTTGGCATTCTTCTGCTATCGTAACACCCTGAACGTTTTTACTTCAGAGCATTTGCTACAGACTGTTCCTCACTCAGAGAAGGGCATGGAATCATGTACTGCATTTTATTAGGAGTGAAAAATCTATTGAAGCAGATTATTTAATTTCAGAGTAGTTGAAGCAATCCCGATTAAGTGATGTCTGACAAGGGTTTTTAATGCAAATCTGGAACAATAGCGAACAACCCCCTTTTATTTTTTAAAAATCTCTAAAATGTTCATCTTTATATGTGACTATGCTTTGGGAATAGGGAGTCTAGATGTTAATAATTAATTATTTAAGTGAGAGTACAAGTTCTGATGTACCTTGCAGTTTTATTCAGGTGACTATTTCTCAGGGGAGCGAGATCATCAGGAGAGCACTTGTGATCTTTGCCCAGGTTGGGAGCTAAATTACTCTGATATTCAGTGTGAAAATTAATTAAGCACCTGGAACTTTTATGCTGTGTCAGAAGTTAGTCTTTGAACACCTCAAAGCAGCTCCAAGTCAGCTTTGGCTGGACAGCAGCTCTGTTTGAAGCACTGTGCTGTTACAGTGTGCCAGATCTACACGTGCAGTTATTTGTGCCTCACTTGAGTGCCTAAATACGATTTTGTGGCTTGTGTAAGGGTGGTTGTGTAACACCAATTCCTTTAGACCCTTCTCTGCCATGATCATCTTTCTCTTGAAGGATATCAACCAGAAGCTGCAAGAGGATAACCAGGAGCTGAGGGACCTGTGCTGCTTCCTGGACGATGACCGGCAGAAGGGCAAGAAGGTGTCTCGGGAGTGGCAGCGGCTGGGCAGGTACAGCGCCAGTGTGATGCACAAGGAGGTGGCCTTATACCTGCAGAAGCTGAAGGAACTGGAGGTGAGACAGGAGGAGGTGGTTAAGGAGAACCTGGAGCTGAAGGAGCTGTGTGTGCTGCTGGACGAGGAGAAGGGTGGCGGAGCCGGGAGCCGCAGCTCCATCGACAGCCAGATCAGCCTGTGCCAGCTGACAGCGACGAGCGCCTACATCAGAGACGTCGGGGACGGCAGCAGCACCTCCAGCACGGGCAGCACGGACAGCCCAGACCACCACAAACACCACCCCAGCACCAGCCCAGAGCACCTGCAGAAGGCTCGGGGGGAAGGAAGCCCCGAGCACCAGAAGCACAGGAGTATCAGCCCGGAGCACCTGCAGAAGCCCCGCGGCTCCGGCAGTCCCGACCACCACCTGAAAGGGCCGAGCCCCGAGCACCACAAAACCATCGTCAAAGTCCCCGACCAACAAAAGCACAGCAGCAGCAGCCCAGAAACTATCCCAAAGCACGTTTTGAGTAGTAGCCCTGAACACTTTCAAAAGCAGAGGCCTGGTGGCAGCCCCGAGCACCAAAAGCACAGCGGTGGCAGCCCAGAGCACCTCCAGAAGCACACGCCGAGTGGGAGTACAGAGCACCTGCACAAGGTGAGGGGCACCAGCCCAGAGCACCTCAAACAGCACTATGGAGGCAGCCCCGAGCACCTCAAACACCTCAGCGGAGGCAGCAGGGAAGGGACCCTCAGGAGACAAGTGACAGAGGACCTGTCCCCTCACCACAGGAGTATTTACAACGGAATGAATGGTGGGTCAATGCTTCCAGTGAAAGCTCTCTTTGAAAATTCCTAAGGTAGTTGCAGTGCTGTTTCAGGAGAAGGAGTGATTAATTGTTTCATTTCATTGATGTGAAACGGAAGGTAACGGGTCTGGTGTCAGCACTGTTCCTTTAGCAAGTGATTTCATTGGAGTAGTGCTGTTTGTCCATCCAGCACGTGTTGGGTAGATTAAAAAAGTAGGGGAAAAGTGCATTTTGAGTGCTGGTGCAAGATACCAAGGAGCAGCTCCTGGCCCCGACCCTGCTCTGTGGCTGATAGATGTAAACTGTTTGTCCCCAGGTGGGTTTCTGTTTGCATCAGGGAGGAATTGCATTATGTTCCTTGTCCTGCCTGTGTCTGAGTCAGCAGAGTGGAGCCGAATGTCTCCAGTTTCCTCTCCACCTTCCTCTAGCTTTAAAGATTTTAACATTTCCTCTCTATTGATTGAAGGCTTCTTATGTCCTTTTGCATAAGCTTTGGAGAAGACCCCAGGTGAAGAGCAGGGTCAATAGAAATGAATCTGATAGCTCCTACAGCTTCTCAAAGCCTGGAGTTTGCATATTTTTAACTATAACAAATTAAAAATTAAGGAAGATCCGAAGGGGTTTCTTTGCTGTTGTTATTGCTGCCTTTTAGAAAGTTTTCCTGTAAACGTGCCAAGCTTTTAAGAGCCGTGTATCCTCACTGATTGGGGTTAATTTCTATTCTTAGGATAGTCACACTGTAAGCATTTTGTTATTCTGAAAGTCAAACGGTTACAAAGTTCAAGCATCCTCTGCTGTAGAAACAGCTCTTCATGGACTTAGCAGAATTTCTGTAGCCTGCTCCTTTTGTTTCCTCCATGTGCTTTGAGATGTTTCCATGAAGGAACTTAGTGTCCTAGTGGAAAACTCTTCTCCCAGTCCCGAAGTGGTAAGTGTGGAGACCCCTCTGATTTGGAAACCGTTATTAAGGTGAGTGTGTGACAAGCGTGTGACGATGTGTAGCACAGCAGTTGCTGCAGTTGGCCTGGCACAGCTTCCATTCAATGCTGTATTCTTTCTCCATTTTCTGTTTAAAACTGACCTCACTGTGAGCACGAAGTGTGTACAACCAGACTCCCTCACAGTGCCTGGTTTCCTGCACCCACAACGTTCATCAGTCCATCCCTGATCCAGCAGAAAGGTGATCTAAGGTTTTAAGTCTGTATTTTTCAAGCTCACACCCAGGTGAAGATACGGTTTTTCTGCTGCCAGCACGGTGGGTTTTGGGATTTTTCTGGTGTCCAAGTACCTTGTCAAGAGCCGTGTTGCCAACAGTGCAGCGAGGGCAGTTGTTACTTTAATCCTGGGCTGACTGGCATCCTTTGTGCAGCATATTTCATCTGTCTACAGTTTGGACTCAGGCCACAAGGTGCTGGAGAGGGCAGCTGCTGCTTTGGGAGACTGTTTATTGACTTTAATCACAGCTCTGCCTGTCCTACACTTTATATAACCACTTTTACAGCAAGTCCTCTTGGGTTTGACAACTCCTCTCACCAGTACCTTGTCAGACCTCTCTCCTTCCATATTTATATAATCTGATGCAAACTTGAGGTTTAATTCTGACATTTGTCTGACCTTGGTCAGTGGTAAAGCTCTTGACAGTTCTGCTGTGAGGAAGAGCCTTTCAGCTTCTGGGAAATACTTGGTCTTCACGGCAAGGCTGAATCCGTCTGGGTGTTTGGGGTTTTTTTTGTGGGAGCAGGTACAGTGGAAGTGGTCAAAGTGCTGGCCATTAGCACTTGCTATTGCTGTGCAATGTGTAAATCTTAATTTGCATGTTCTGTGTCTGCCTGAACCTGCCAGCTGAGTATAGGGCATGAAAATCCTGATCTTCTGTGGTGAGGAATGGGGAATTGTGACAACCTGAGTCAGAAAATGGCCTGGGAACGCGGCCCTCAACTCTGATGAGAAATATGAAAGGACCACATTTTGGATTCTTATCCCAAAATCGTGTAGTTAGTATTCAGTACCACCTTGGCCCTTAGTTTGTTTTAAAATTTGGAGCGTATCTAGCTAGGAGATGTTTGACTGCCCACCTGTGTGATGAGTTTGCAGGGCACTTCCAGTCTCACTGTGGTACCCGAGGAGTGTTGTGTGAGCAGCAGGAGCGAAGTGTCGGTGACCCTGAGTGACAAACAGCAAGGACAAAATAATACATTTTAACTCTGCAGCCAGACTTTCCAGGCTCAGGACAGGCCTGTGCCGTGTCCCTTGGCCTGGGCTGGCCTCTCTTGGTGCCGCAGGGCAGTGCTGTGTTCCCTGCCAGAGCCTGGACAGTACCCGCAGGTGTGGGGAGCGGATTCGGGTGTTTGCAGGGTTCTGGCCAGCTCTCCAGCTCCGCCAAAGCCGTGTCAGCGCCACGAGGAGCAGGATGTGCGGACTGCAGGATGTGCTCATGCATTAATCATCGGGCCTCATGCATGTTTTAAGCTGTCACGAGGTGTGCGGGAAGTTACCTCAGCCTTTGGTCCGCAGGCACCGCTGAAGGGATGAGGGATGAGGTGATAACGCTGCCTTTCATAATTCTGCTCATTTTCTATGCTCAAACGTTTGATCTTGGTATTTTTTTCTTGTATGACATGTCAGCTTTCATTTATAAGATTTATAAGGCTTTAAAAAAATCCTGCTTCGTGGTTCTCCTACGTATTTTTCTCAGATAGGTGTCCTCAGCCTTTGGAGTGACAGAAAATGGGATGGGAGAGCTAAATTTGATGTCTGTTAATTGAAAACACCTGTGTTTCATTTTTAAAGCCTTAACCAAATAAAACATGGTAATGATCTTTTGCTGTAATCACACCTAAACACTCTGGGTAATGAGAACAGAGATGTTTGGGATAGAAAGATTGCTGAAATTAGAAGGGAAAGTGCCAGCAGTAAAAACATTTTGAAGAGAATTTTAATGCAACCTGGAAGAATACGTGACAATTTGACAGATATTTGGGGTGTAAGTGCCTCTGTATAAATTGATCTGCTTTCAGCATTTGCAATCCTACTGCTGCTTTTTTAGTGTAAGCAATTTATTCTCCACTTTCTATTTTAAGAAGTCCTTTGTTTTACTCTGAGCTTTGACTTTTGTGTGAAAGGAAAAGCATCCAAAGGGTTTCACATGTGCTTCTTGCTTCCTGCTGAGGCTGTTAATGAAGAGAAGTAAAACTGCTGACTAACACCTCTCATACCGCTGGAGGTGTGAGGGCTCTCACAGCACAAATGCAACATCACCTCTCCTTGAGCAAAGGTGCTTGGAGGCTGAATAGAGACTCAGCCTAAACTCTGGACACTTTCTGTTGTAAATGCGCTTCTTAGAAGGAAAAATAAAACGAGAAAATACTGCCCTGAGTGAAGAGAGGGAAGTGCAGGATGACTTCAGAGAGAAAAACCTCACAACAGTGTGTTCCTGAGGTAACTGATATCCTCTCGTGGAAGCAGCGTCTGCTGGCCAGAGAGGGGGATCTTTTGATGTAGGTTTGCTCAGTTGTGTTTCTTTAAGTTGAACCGGAGATAATTTCCCTGTGCATCAGTCTGTGTGTGATTAGACTTTCCTGGTGGCACCCACCACTGCACCCCTGGGAGCCTGAGCAGCATTTCTGACTCTTGGGAGCGTAAGCAAAGGCTACAGGATCCACTGAGTTTTCCCTTTGCCAGTACAAAGGAACCCACTGTTTATTTCAGATATTTAACTTTTTAAGTTGGAGCTCTAAACATTTACGTCTATCAAGTCTTCAACCTGAATTCTGTAGGTTTTATGCCAAACTTGTAAATTGGTTTTAGCTCTTCCACAGCTTTGAGAGAACTGGGGCATGAGATGTGAATATGTATGGGACTAGAACATGTTGCAGTCGTTCCCGAGGAGGAATTTACCAAGTTGAAAATGTAGATCAGTGCCAGCAGTGTCCCATGTGTGTGAGAACAAGGTCCCTGTCAGTCCCTGAGGGAAGGGAATTGGTGCTGACTACAGAGTGTCTGCCAGGGATTTTTTGGGGAGCTCAGTTCACAGAGCCCACTCAGGAGCTCCCTTCAGACCTGGGAGGCTGGTTCCCACCCCCAGGCTTTAGTGCCACCCCTGGGCTGCAGCCATGCCCCGATTTTGATTGTGTTTTGTTTATCTCATGGCAAGGCTTTTAAGAAACGACGTGTTTTCTGAGCGGTGAGTGGGCGTTTGTTTTGGTCTGTTAGGAGACAATAGACGCTTATTTATTTTTCATGGCGGTTGGGCCAAGAGCTATAAGCCATTTGCTGTTACCTCAGAGAGCTTATCGGGAGTTTGCATGGCTACTGTCGTCTGCCTGAAATATGTGGGCAGATTGGGATGTTATTTTATTCTCCTTAGTGCCAGAATGGCGAGTGTTCACCTTAAAGCCTTGTGTGAGCCCCTGCTGAGGCAGTGCCTCTAACCCCACTGAGGGCCTCGTGGAACAGTGCTCCTCCTGACTGTGGAGTTACACCGTTGTGATTTGATAATGGCAAATTATGGGTTTGGAAGTATCAGTGATTAAACTGTCAACTCCTCTGAACTCTGGCACTTCTAATGCAGAGTCAGACTATTATAATAACTTGGGGTAAGTGCTGCTTGGTTAAGAAATTCAGCCTTGCAGTGAGTATTGCCTGTCCATCGAAGTGTCCTGTCTCTTCAGTGCTGTCTGTTCATGGGATTTTTTTTGTTTTTAGATTTTCTATTTTATTATGAAGTTGTCAATGGAGAATGGTTGCAGGCTGTGCAGAGATGGGAGCTGAACTGGTTAATAGCAAGGGAAGAGCAGGCAGTGGAGTGTGGGGTTCAAATTTTGTGCCGCTCCTCACGCACAGAGTTCGTGGATGTTGACAGGAGCAAAGGACAGCGAGGCATTCCAAATTATAGGGTATTTAGTGAGCTATAATAAAGCTTTGTGTACACAAGAAAATGACTCTGGCAGTGAAAATTCATTGGCTTCTGAGCTAGTAAGTCATGTCTTAATTAGTAAACCAAGGCA